ATCATACCTTGGTAGTACGGGTAGGCAAAATGGCGGGAGCCTGTGTAATACTTAAATACCGTACTGCTATTTGATTTCGGCACCTTCGACGCCGAATAATTGATTATGAAACTTTCTATCCTTTCGGCAGACCTAGTGTTACCTGCTAAAATACACCGTTATCGACCATTATCGCTCCAAAATATTTTCCAGCGGAATTCGGCAGGGCACATAATTATTTATTTTTTGCCGAAATTACGTAGCAGTACGGTAGAATTTTCCTCCTGATCTACAAACTACAATCATCCATGGCGTCCCAAAGAAGAGTCTATGAGCGCATAAGTCCAGGAGTTTCAGGTTGAGGGGCCAAATTCAATTGTCTGGGCTCAAATGAATTGGCAGCATGGAGGTGGATGGGCTGCCTTTGAATCTTAAGGTCCTGGACAGCATTGTGCTTGATTATCTACATCATGAAGATCTAGTGTCAGCTAAGACAGAAAGAGGACATCCAGCTTCTGAAGCGAACCATCGTGGAATGATCGACCACATTCGAAGTCTTGTTAACGAAGGGGCCATTGAATCGGCAATTGCGTTAACAAACAAAAGCAATGCAAACATTCTGGAAGATCAGCAATTACTATTCCAACTATACAAGGAGGTGAGTGGATTCAGAGAAGTGTGTTTGAAGTCCCCAAACTAGATGTCTTGATGGTGATCACAAATTCTGTACACAAAGTCCAGAGGTGGCGCTGTGCTCATCGCGTTGAATACAAACTTTTGCCTTCATGAGCATGCCGATTTGGTCCGGTATTTGTATTACTGGACCCCTTATAGTGTTTGTGCATCACGGGGTTCTTTTAGTGTTTGTGCATCATGAGAAAATTCCTAGACACCCTGCTACACCTGCTGCAAAATCTCGATCTATAAGGCTGTCTGTTGTGGATGCTTTGCGTTTTGACCAATAGATGACGTGTTCTCAACTCAGCAAACGAACTTTTGTTCATATGCACCACTCCATCATCATGGGGGTAATTGCGGTGTCTTCCATTGTTTGCAGCAATTTTTGGAACACCTTCGGGCTGGATCGGATGAAGCGGCGATCCATTGTGCCAGGAAGTTTCTGGAGCCATTGGCGCTCAATGCTTACCTTGTGAGTACTCAAAGTTTTCATCCTAAGCTATTGAGCCTGACACCCTCTGTGAGCTGGTGCTATAGTCATGGTGATCTCAGGAGGTCTTGCCTGCACGGCACTGGCACTTATGGGTCTCCCTTGGCACAACAACTGGTATCATTAACGTTCCTAGTGTTTGCATGCAGGAGGCTTATCAGGATTTCAAGCAAGTAATGCTTGCCTTCTTGTTTGGGCCTGAGGATACGGGGTCGCCTGTTGCTGCACAGGTGACCTGATAAAACAATTTCTTCTGATTCCCTGGAAAACCCTGACGTCACAAGCGATCATTGACACCACTGGTGCACATATTGCTTGCCCAGCCTTTGTCGTTGATCATAGAATAGCCAATGGACATACGCACAGAAAGGCGAATAGGAGGTCAGATTAAGAAGCAGACTAGTCTCCAAGTGAGCAATTACTGATTGAACAAGAGCAACAATCTTCGAATAGCTGTCCTGCTCTTCTTGCGAGCAGACCACATGATCATTCTACTCTTGCTGCCTGCAGTGGTCTTTGAAACAAAGGTTCAACTTGGCAGGCACCTTGGCAAGCAACCTGCGAGCCGCTGCGGCAGCCTATGATCCACTCCTGTCCCTTCTGCTGAGATACCTAATCAGGTTAGTAGGCCAAGAATACTTTCCGATGCAGTTGTTCAACCAGAATGAGGAGTTTGAACACAAACCAGATTAAGGCTGAGATCAGGGGACGCAGCCGTTTACCATGCTCTGACGGTGTTCTCAGTTGGCCAAGAAGGCGTCCTTGTCGCAGCTTCGAAGCAATCATGGCAGGTTTTGCAGTAGGCAAATACTCATCACTCATGAAGGTATTTTCCTGTGTCTCTCCAGCATCCAGAAGCGGTTCCTTGAAATTGCTGGCAACCTACAGCCCTCGGTGAGACTGGGAAGGGTGCTGAGAGAGGTGCCGTTTGATGAGAAGGATCCTCCTCTGGTGCCCAAGTCAAGTCTTGACCGAGCCCCCGATTTCAAAGAGGTATGCCGCTGCTCTTGCGGTCCGCCATATTGGCTGGGGGCAGTAAGGATAACTCGTCGATGAAATATGCCCTACCTTCTATGGATGATCCAACCTGTAAAGCGGAAACGTTGTTCCTGTGTTGTTCCGCGGTCATCCCAAGAGGAGTTGCAATTGGACAGGCGAAAGGGCAGAGGTTTAGGGCGAGGCATGCCTGCTGGAGACTCATGGCTGCATCACTGAACTCGCAGAAAGATGTGCAAGACCTGGCGCATGCGGTCGAGCTGCCCCGACAAGCTGCTGTCGACAGCCTAAGGGTTGCAAACGGGCATGTTATCACTGCACTCAAAGTCAGTCCCTTTCTCTTCAGCTACAAGTCAGTTTGCCTCCTGTGCCTTTTATCTAAGCTGTCGGATATTGCAGAGGTGTTGTTTGTGGTTTGAAGGCGCTCACATGAAATTTGGTCTGGCAGGAAGCGTGACGAGATTGTTTTGGCCGCTTTTGTGGCGCACACGCTGTGGTTTGGCGTCCTTTCATCCTTTTTGATCTTCCGTTTCGAGGGCGGGTGATTGGAAGGTTGTCAGGGTCGGGTCTTCTAAAGCAGGGTTGGGTGTCTCGTGCAGAACGAGCTTAGCCGCATGCGCGTGAACCGGACGTTCGTGGACGAACTCGCACGGGAGTATGGTGTGTACAGGGGCCTTGTGGATTGCGGGCCTGAGTCATCACGTCAGTCATGTACAGAGGCAGGATCGAGCCCCAGTCAAGTGCCTCAATATTCCAATCAGAACCAGCCTTCAACCTCCAACACAGAGTATGCGGTAGGCAATAATAGCAGGGGCTCAGTAGAAGTAGGTACAAGAAGCGCATCGAAGCATGTGAGTAGCAGAGAGGCAGTGCAGGGCGTAGAAAAGCCACAAACGCTCAGAAAACACGGAAGCGAAGCGGAAGTCTCGGGTCCTTGTACAGTCCAGCAACAATTCGGCAATGATAAAGAAACAAAGTCAGGTGAGCAAGTAACCCAGGTAGACGAAGATGGTGACGTGCGGATGCATGACGCTCAAGAGGGCGACCAGTCAAACGGAGCTTCGGGGGAGCCGGTCGCCCCCGGACCCAAGCCGGTACTGGTGTGGAGGGGCCGGCCCGAGGGGTTTCGGGAGCTGCACGACGGCGCACTGGGGCTGCATCTCGAGGATGCTTCGGCCGCCAGCACGGAGTTCTCGGAAGACGACGTCAAGTCGCTTGAAGCCAGCCTGCTCAACCCTGATGGCCCAACGGTTGAAGCGCACGCTGGCGAACCGGGCAGCCTGGTCACGGAGCAGTCTTCTGAAAAGGCTTCGGCCTCAAAGGCATCCGGAAGCGAGGGGGGCCAGCAGCGCCCTCGACGACAGGCCAGCGCGCAGGAGTATCTGCAGACTTCCGTCTTGGGGACGGACGTGCTGCGAAGGTATCGAGAGGTTTTGGAGATTCGGGATATGGTGAGCACGGGGGCGACGGGCCGGGCCGTGGAGGAAACGCTGCGCCTGGTGCCAGGCTTCTTCGCGGACAAGCAGGAGCTGCTCTTCCGGCTGAAGGAAGTGGAGTTCGTCAGGTGACCCCTCTGTCATTGGCGCCACTCTCTTGCAATTATTCCTCTCAAAAGGTCGAGGAGCTTTACTTGATTCAAGTAGACAAGGGTTTTAGAATACTCCTTCGTAGGTGGCGGAGGAGGTTGCTTGGATTTCTGTCGAGGCCCAGGATCGAAAGAAACGGCTACCATTTGGGTGGGATGCAATTGGCCCCCTCCTGCAGCAGCTTCCCTGAGAGGTTTGCTTCGAAAGATAAAACTAGAGCAGAGCTTCTCCTTTCATTCTTAGGTGCACAGATCCGTTTTCTCGGCTTCATTGCACTGGTGGGATGAGCCCTTTTAAGCATACTCATTGCTTCGCTGCTTGTGGCCCCCGAGGGCTGGGAAGGATCGTGGGTTCCAAGCTTGTGACTACGATACTGACGTGTTCACCGATCGCTTCCAACCCTCTTCAGGCTTCTGGAGGCGGGCGAGCTCAAGCCAGCGCTGCGCTTGGCGCGAGAGTCGCTCGGCCCCCTGGCTGCGGAGCACCGCGAGCTGCTCCCGGCCCTGAAAGCGACGCTCCTCGCCTTGGCCAAGCCTGGCCCCTACCTGCCCAAAGTGACGCCCACCACAGCAGCCCTCGCCACCTCGCTACAGGTGAGGCCGGATCCAATGGGATACAGTCTGATTCCGGAGCTGGCCGTTTGCCAGGGCATTTTCGCTTGTGAAAGCGATTTGGTTGGTTCCGACTATCATTTGTGCGCTCGTTTCTTGCCTGCGTTTGAGGTACGGATATGGCTCTACGAGGAGGAGGTTACCAGGGTCGTGCTACAAAGCGCTGGTCCCCCTTCTCCCAGCGAGTGTGTCAGTTTCGAGTGTCTGAGCTTCGATCCCCTCGTGGTGGATGTGAAACAGTGAACGCTGGTCGTCTTACAGACTGTTCGAATCGGTGCCACCACCAATCTGTGCTCTGTTGTTATGTTTTGCAGGAAGCTCTGGCCGGTGCCCTTGGGGTGCCCGAGCCGTTGCTCGTGGTTCTGATGCGAAGCCTGCTCGACGCACACGACGAGTGGTTTGAGATGCAGGTATGCGAAGCTCCCAATTGATGGCTTGTGAAAGACCTCTCGTGCACAAAGCAATTTCGCCCCACTACGTCTAGCCCTCTTCGCATCTGACAGTACATACGAGATGCCGGACAAAAGAGTGACATAATAGGCGCCTTCGCCTCCCAAGACTTGTGTTGAAGACTGTCGGACATCGTTACGGTTTCAATATACTGAGCCTGCAGTGTTGTTTGGGCAGACCCGGTTCGATCTCGAAGCTTTTGATGCAGACGCTCACACGTGTGCTGGCGACCTATTGCTTAAAAGTACAAAGAGTACGCCTGGAGTCTAGTCGTCTTGACTTTGAATTTGGAGTTAGCACCCCAGCCGTTCTGCCAGTATGTCTCTGGTGCTGATTATCGCTGCTCACTCCGTCGCTCTGCCGTGCCAGATGTGCGAAGACCCGTTCCGATCCTTCTTTAAGCTGGACGCCCTCAAGAGCAGCGAGTCGGATGGGGACTCGGCGCTGGAATCAACAACGGAAGCAGCTGAGGTACCGCAGTCCTCGGGGGAGCAGAGTGCGGCTGACGAGTCGATCCTGACGCTCATGGTAAGCGCTACTGCTGATGCGTCACTGCTGTCGTGACCTCTGTGGTTGACACGTAACAGGTGTAGCCGCTTGCAAAACGCCTGTATGTCTTGTCACTTGGCGTTGCGAGAGAGGTCCGGCACAGGATGCTGTGTGCATTGTAGCATCCCTCGAGGTTCAATCGAGCAAGCAGATCTTCTCTTTGGCAGGCCGACTTTTGATCCGGTAGTCCCCATGCTGACGTCACATGTTCCATGTGCAGGAGTTCCTTGCGATCTCTAGGAGCGATGCAATTGTACTGCTGGACAAGTTCGATGGGAGTGTTGAAGCAGTGTTCGCAGATAAGCTCGGAGGTGATTAGATACCACGCGTCGGCTTCACCTAGGAAGAGCAAGTCAAACAGAGAACAGAAGCGTTCTTACCAAACAAGGTTCTACCTGCTCAGCTTGTACAGATGAACCGTCGTCCGGATCGTTCGCACGCACCTTGTCAAGACAGGCGGTCATTGTGCTGAAAATTTACCCGAAGCCAAGGTTGCTATACTTGAATGCTATCCATAGCAATGAATATGTGGCGTGTATATAACGTGAGTTTTGGAGTCAATGGGCTCAGAAATGCGCGTAGCGATCGAGCCACCTAGACTACAGCTTTCATGCACTTTTATGAAGGTCTCCAACCTCTTTGCCTTAGCCAAACTGGCCATAGGCCTCTTGATCGGTGCACCACACAGATATACCTCTTGATGACATCATGGCATGTGCACGAATCTGCCATGCCAGATGCACGCCAGCTGAGTCACTACGTCTGGGTGGCCTAATACGGATCCACCAATTGAAGCTGCCCGCCCATCGATTGCATTGATTTGCATGAGCTGCGTCCATCGATCAAAGTCAGAAGCCGCTCCATGGCCGTGATAGCATATGATGAACAAACTTGCGCTCGGCATGTTGGGGCCAGGTGCCGGTGCGTCCGCCCTTAATGCGTGACAATCTGAATGTGCGTTTCGGACTGAAATGAACACGCAAGGGTTCTGAACATAGTCACATGCAAGTGAATAGGAATAGCTTGGCAAACAAACATTCGTTATATGGTCTAGAGTCACGAGGTTTCCAAAGAACGAAACTTGTCCCCTACAAGCCAAACCGGCTCCAAAGAAGACTTCGACAATTGCGAGACTGGTGACATCAACTGCAAATCCAAGCTCTAGTAGGTTCGCACACTGTCAGGTTTTTCTTTTGTTTACTGCTATCCTGATCTTAGTGACACCTCCAAATACTCTTGACACCCTTAAAAGGAACACTGTACATGCTGATTTGTCCACAGGACACTGGCTGTTGCCCCAACCGCAACAGCTAGTCCTGCCTGCATCTTTCCTTACGCACCCAACGCTACGACTTTCACGGGGTACTGCCTCACTGCTTTGTCCCCTTCTGACTGCCTGCTTCCTGCAGTAGCTGAAGCATCTCCCTGGCAGTCTGCCTTGCCTCGCCCCCTTCCGCCAGCAGCGTCTCTCCCGCGCAGCCTCTCTGCGCCGCTTGTCCCTCGGTGGAGCCTACGCCTTGCCGCCCGCGTCTCGTTGCCGTCCCGCGCCTTCGCTCCGGCTGTCCTCCACGTCAGCGCTGAGCGACGGCACGCCGTGCTGATGAAGTTGGTGACGATTGGTACCGCCTAGTGCGTCCCAAGTCGGGGATGCATCCCGGTCCTAGACCAGGTACACGTCCCCAGGCGGCGACGCAGCCGGTTGAAGCCGCCAGCAGAAGCCGGCGGTGATGACTGGCGCCTCGCTTGGAGAAGAAGGCACGCCGAGCACGCCTCCTCCCGCCTTCGGTGGTTGGAGGACATCCGGATGAAGGCCCCCAGGCGAAGCGACGCTGCAGCAAGTGGACGTCGCCAGAGGCCCGTAAAGCAAATTTGTTGAGGGAACCGGGGTCCTCTCTGAACAGAAAACGCAGATGCAGACACGGTCCATCATAACCGGAGCACGTCCGGATGGAGCAGCGCTTGGAACGTTGCATGTCGCCATTGATGGTGGGGCCTCGCTGAAGACGAAGTCGGGGGCTTTCTGGGCCGTTTGCCCGCGCTCCACGTGGGGTCTTGGACACGGGGCCGCCAGAAACACGCAGCGAAGCAGGGGGGGTTAGAAGACGATGACGTCAGCAGCCAGTCGCGTCGCGACTGGAGGACCTGAAGCCAGGTGGCGCGGCACCTTCGCCTGCGAGAAAGTTGGTGACGAGCGGAGGCGGTCGTGTCTGGAAGCTGGCGGCGCGCTCGTCGGGAGCAGCCACAGCCATCCTTGTAGCAGGACTCCGGTGACGAGGGCAACGTACATGGAACGCCTGGCCCCGTCCTTCTCGTGGTGCTGCTGCCAAAGTAGGGCGCGTTCTTCTGGAGCCACGCCGGTACAATAGTACACGCGAGTTTGGGCGTTGTTGCCTTCCGAGAGCCGCGTGTGCAGCAGGGGTTTGCCTCGGTCTTCGACCGCCGTCTTCGGACTGCCGTCTTCGGACCGCCGTCTTCGAGCTCCGGTCGGGTCTTCTTGGCGTCACCTCCGCTGGACCAGGCAGAAGCCCCAGGCACGAGCGGCCACAGGCCTCGTTGGGACGACGGCAAGCCCACCGGCGGGAGAGCGGCCCTCCGTCTTGACACAGCTTGAGAGTGGCCCTCCGTCTTGACACAGCTTGAGAGTGGCCCTCCGTCTGGACACAGCTTGAGAGCGGCCCTCCGTCTGGACACAGCTTGAGAGCGGCCCTCCGTCTGGACACAGCTTG